TTTTTTTTTTTTTTTTTTTATGTTTATGTTTATAACGGAAGTAGTTAAAATATATTTTGTCACTTATGTTCTTATATTTTATAAGAGAAATAGATATTTCTTCTATATGATTTGAAATGATGTGTCCAAAGATTATTTCAAGACATATAATGAATAAGAATAACTGCTTGTGCTATGGACAGGTGAATAAAATATAGGAAGAATTACAGTTTTATACAAAAACTAATCGTATCAAAAAGAGTATTTTTATGAGTAAGATATTAAACACCTTGTATATGATATCTCGTAAAAATTGCTTAAATTCTTTGATTCACATTAATGTAAGCAAAAAAATATCGCGTATATAAATAATATTTTATTCATTTTTAGAAAATTTAGAATTATTAGTTTTTGTATAACACTAACATCAATCTATTAATATTATTAAAATAAGGACGAAAAGAGAAAAATGAAGTACCGAAATTTTTCTAATTAATAAGATTGCAATATGTTTTTTTTTTCGTCCACGTAAAGTTTAGAGTTTAATTTCTATGTCAATATACAAGTGTACAAGTTATGATTATTTTAAACCAATATTATTCGGTGATTTATCTCATCTAATACCATGTTATATCATTCTAGATGCAAAACAGATTACATTACAAAAAACGCTTTTCTTAAAATATTCTTATCCATAAAATATATTTACAGATCAAAATTTAAATATACATACATATAATTCGTTCGTAATCTTTAGAATGTAATGAATAAAGTATTATAAAAACAAACAGTAAACAACTAACATATTTTAAAGTCTAAATTTTTCATAATCTACAATAAGTAATATGAATATTATGAAAGCAATTATTCTATTTGAGACATATTGTGTAATATTGTATTACATATAATAATACATTGTATCATATCAATCTATGATATTATAAATTGATACAAAGAAAATTGAACAAAAGTATTGATTTTGTTTCGAAAGAGAGACAGACTTTTAAATATATTGGCTTTCATACAATATTACTTTCAGTCTTGTTTTTAAATAAACATATAAAGTCTTTCTGGTGCCTATCCATAGCAAGAGCTTAGTTAAAACCTCTATTTTTCAATCATAAATCCTTCTTTCTTATCGAAGACATAATCCTTGAAAATCAAAATATGAATACACAATTTCTTTTTTCTTTTTGACAATAAAATTTTACAACATTCATTTTTCATTTCATCAAAATTTTCCAACGTGCTATATAAAGTTAGCAAGACATTTGGCAAATAGAAATTGCTTGCTATTTATTCTAATAACGAACTGTAAACTTTTCCTTAAGTTTATAAAAACCAAAAAAATTTATATACATGTTTGCATAAAGAATGCTTTGTTCAATGCTAGCTCCAAGTAAAAGAAAATCACAACCTATACGCATACATTTACTAGATTTTCATCGAAATCGTCGAATAATTATTAAATTATCCATATCTATCCATAACTACTCGTTACATATAATAATCTGGTAAACAATATAAATTAAAAAGAATCTTTTTGCACAGAATATCACATACATTTGTAACGGTGTTATAGTGAAATTATTAATATGTATACATATTTTATTTTTAATGTAAAAAAAAAGGAATAAAAAAATTGTGTATTTTGAATCATTAAAAATTTATATAGTAAACTCACTGTAAAATTAAAAAAAATATATATCCATTTTTTTAAATGAATTTCAGAACGCGTTTTTATTCATTTACAGAAATAGTAATTGATATCATTTATACGTTCATTTGTTTATTTAATATTGAATTTAAGATATAAAATGAACGTTACTATAATCAGTATTTTAAATATAAAATTTTTTCAAAAACAGTTTTATCTTTCAATTTAATAAAAAGACTTTTCTGTTTGTATTATATTTTTAATTTTATATTAAATCAATGTCAAAATATAGTATACTTTATTTTTCTCGTGTATGAAATTGTGTAATTTGCATTGTAGCATTAAAAGACGCAAGTATAAAAAAAATTACTTACATTAAATGACATTGATAAAAATAAGGATGTTATGATAAGTGACAATAGGATTTTACAATTAGTTTTCCTTCCATAATGTGTAATATACACAAACCCATGACTGCTGTCAAACTTCCATATGTTTGGAAGGTTGTTGAGATATGAATGGTTCGCTCCACATTCGACGTAAATCTCCCTATAAATAACATATTTTTTACAATTTATAGTGTCAATATAAAAGAGATATTAAAAAAAATATTAAATGAAAAATACCTTCAAATATGCCATTGTAAGTAATGGCAATAAAGTAAAGGGCACAAGGTACAATAAGGCAGGTTGCGCAGCTTTGAACACCTCAGAGCTTACAGTAGCAGTAAGTAAACCAAGAAAATAACCAATGAGTGAACAATGGAAATAACTAATGCGATTGATGTGACGCGGCGGTGGAACTCCTGTTTCACAACCACCGGGCAACAATTGAGTCTTTTTGTACGCGTCATATCGTAAAACGAAGCAAAGCAATAGTCCTGGCATAACAACATCGCCAAGACCTAACATTGAAAAATGTCCTGCTTGATGCATCGATGGAAATACTAATTTTCCAGGTAATGGAAGTTTTGGTGCTTCTCTTGCTACACCACCTAAGTGCAATCTTCTAGCCACAAGATTCACTGGATTATCTGCTGGTCTAGTTGCTACCTATCATTGATAAAAAATAAAAATAAAAATCATTTAATATTTTTTATAAATATTTTTTTATTATAAATTTCTTCAAACTTACCTTAACCATTACATTTGTGCTGAATATATAGGATGAAAAGAAAACCCAGAAGACATCATAAATGAGTAATCCAGTTAATAATATAGTGGATACCTTTAGACTAGGTAATCGAATGAATGCAATGAATGCTACACATAGTCCCATACCCATTGCGTCCATAAGAAGCCAATGTCCAGTCAGTACCCAAATGCATACTATACTCACACTTAATGAAAATGAAAGTAATTCTGCACCAGTAAACCTTCCACATACACCAAAGGATATTTTGTTACCATCTGAACATGGTCTAATAATATATTGACACATGGGTAAAAGAAGAAATGCCAGTGCAACTGCAGCTACAACTGTAAGAGAAATATCTTTGATATTTATAGCTATTCTTTATTTAAATAATAATAACAATAATTAAAGTAAAAAAATTATTGTCCCATAAAACTTACTAGCTGTACAGATTGCTACAAGCATTTGCATGCTGTCAAAAAAGAAAAACATGACGAGTAGAGAAATGGAAGCACCAAGAGGTAGACAGAGAGCATGCATTGTATTTAAGGTTTGAACTCTTCCATTAGCACCATCTGCATTTGCTGTGCTACTATTACTCAAAATTCCAGTCAATAAATTACCACGTTCCTTTTCTTTTTCTCTTTCTCTAGCTTCTTGTTCCATGTTTAAAGATCGGAAACTACCATAGACTATCAATAAAATTGATATTAGGAATGTGGATATTCTAGATGAATCCATTATGGTATAAGCCCTAAAATAATACTTGACTTGTAATTGAATATCAATATGAATTTCAATTATGAATTGTTTAATTTGTAATTCATATTAATAACAATATAAATATTATATTAAAAACAATAACATATTAATGATAAAATTAATATTAATTTAGAGACTAACCACTGATAGTCAACTTGATACGTGGCCATTTTTAAAAATGCCTGGCCAAAGCATGAAACGTTATGCTAGGACACCTTCTGACATTTAGATGTCCTATTTAAAAGTGCTTTCTGCTTGCACTAACCTATATCAGAGATCATCTGTAATTACTGTAAATATATAATAAATATATAATATGTTAATATCTATAACATAAAAATCTTCAAAAATAAAAACACAGTATGTATACCTGCAATGCTTTGTATTCAACATTGTCAGTAATGAAAATAGGCCTTGTACAACTTCGGTCACCCCCTTTAAAATATAAAATAAAAAAATTAGTGGCATCAAACTATGAAATACAACGATTAAAATTACTTTCAAAGTAATTACATAAAGATATGAAGTTCAGTCATCCGGAATGGGAACGCAAAAAAATAGTAATCCAATAGGTCAGAGTTTAAAAAAATTGCGTAATTAATAAGGCAGTTATCACATCGTGAGTAAATACTCAAAAAAATTCGTAATGAATTGCAATAATTCTAATAGATCAGAAAAATCGAGAGCTTATATGTATACTGTAAAGACACTTTCGTACAACTACTTTCAAACTTTCGCTACAATCATTTGACAACCAAATGCAGCGCGAATATAATACGAGCTACAGTTGCTCGTTATGAAATATTAACGCTAACGGTAATCTCATTATAATTCTGTTTCTGTTTTATTATACATGTCACAGATAAATTAATAGCTATTAGAAAAAATTGAAAATTACTTATAAAATATAAATGTACACCATTTTGGTAAACAGAAGGGTCACGTGACTAGCTGTGGCCCCAAGAGGTTGCTACTCCCTTACCCCAGATTATGTCTCGAAGGAATATTTTAGAGATAAAGATATTTTACCTGGGCGGTCCGAAGTTTGGCCCTTTTGTAGGTTCTCTCATCACCTCATGTATACTACACGATTTATAAACGAAAAAATCGT